CCCATCAACTGCAGAGTGGATGAGAAAGATATGATATTTTTATACAATAGAATATTAGTCAGCTATAAAAAGGATGATCTAGAGGTTTTTATAGGCAAATGGAGGCTACTTGAGACTATCCTTATAAATGAATTCAGACCTATTTTTGTCACATTGTCTCTATAGTGTAAAAAGAAATAAAAACTGAAGGAGTAATAAGATCCAAAATGTATAATAGATATTGTAATAATGAAAGGGAAGGGAAGTACTCTAAAGGATATAACTATGTATGTTTAAGTGTGTAAGACAGATAACCATACAACTAAATTTTTGTTGGTTTATCAAACAGAATGGTCTGTACTGTTATTGTTTGACTGACCATTTTTATGCTTGTTTTAGAAATAGTTGACAATATGTAATTTATCAACTAGTGATTTCTTACTATTATTTTCTTTTTTTGAAATTCTACAATATTTCTACCCTTTTTTCTGTTGTGTTTTTCTCTAAATAAAAAATATTGCATGTAAGAGTTATGCAAATAAAAGCAAAGTTATCAAGAAAAAAATCTACCCATTCAAAGAATTTGGGGCAAGAATTTTATAGTGGATTTGATCTTCGCTTTCATTTTATTGATTTTTAAATGAAATTAATGAATAAAAATATCTCACATTTATGGTGCACAATATGTTTTGATATTTGTTGGACATTGTAGAATGTTAGATTAAGTTAATAGACAGGTTACTTCACATACTTAATTTTATCTATGTATCTGTAGTAGACATCTCTGTGATTCCATGTGGGGGATCTTATGAATAATGTTCTGAATATAGGGTACAAGCATCACTTGAAGCACCTGACTTCTATTTCTTTGAATCAATATCTAGAAGTGGAATTTCCAGCTTATATAGTAGTAATAGTTTTTGAGGATATTTCACACACTATTTTTTCATATTCATACTATTAATCTGTACACCAACAGTTTATAATATTTCTTTTTACATCACAGCCTCACCATCTTTTTAATTTTTGTCTTTTGGATAAATGCCATTTTTACACGTATAGGGTGATACCACACTGTAGTTTTAATCTGTTTCTTCCATCATGTTAATTCTGTTTCTTGTCTTCTCTTGATTTTTCTAGTTTCTTGTCAATACATTATATAAAGATCTCTCATTATTACTACTGTGATTTATTAATTCATTTTCATATATTCTGGTAGTTTTGAATTAGGGAACAGTTTCATTGTGGGTTGTATATTTCATCATTATAAATATAAGCAACCTTTCTCAATGTACCTAGCTTTGAATTTTTTTGTCTTTTTAAGACAGGGCTTCATTATGCATTTCATGTGGCCATGGAACTCATTTTGAGGTTGGGCTCAAATTTATAGTGATCCTTTTGCCTCCTCTCCTGAGTGCTGAGATTACAGGTGCACATCATGCCTGTTCTTGAATTGATATTAGTATCACAATTATTTTTTCTTGATAAGTGTTATTTTGAAATAAATGTAGAAATATTTCTTATAAAACTGAATTATCCTGCTTATGCTTATTGGCATGACAGAAACACTTCATGTTAGTTCTATCCTATAAAAATACACTTAATATTTTTACTTTTCTTGGAAATAATTTAATATTCCTATATAATTGAGTATAACAATTTCTCATAATAAATGCTTACAGTGAAGCTTTGTGAAAGAATGAAATAAAACTGCAAAAATAAACAAGTAAACTTTTAAAAACAGACTTCTGGGTCAGGCATGGTAGCACATGCATGTGATCTCAGCACTAGGAAGGCTGAGGCAAGAGGATTGCCACAACTTCAAGGCTAGTCTAGGGTACACAGTGAGTTCAAAGTAGCCTGACCTACATAGTGAAACCCTACCTAACACCAACCAAAAAAAAGAAAAGGAAAGAAAAAGAAAATGAGTATTGTTTTTAAAATCTAATGTTTTCACTAACTGCATTCAAACAAAAAACAAAAGTGATATTTATACAGGATATACTTTCAGTGTTTCCTTGTGGTAGGCTTTCGTTACCTTCATTTAACTAACACAGTTGTAGTCAGTTTTAATTTGTCATGCTAGATCACAGAAGCTCAGTCAGCTCTATACTATTTGAAGGCCCTGGATTTAAGACCCTTAAAATCTCAAATTGTCATGGCTCCATTGATTCTCATAATAAAAATTTTTGGTAATCTTGCTTGGCCGCCTCCTAAATAGGAACTTCAGTGATGTTATACATGAGTGGCTTCCCCAGGATATATTTGCCGGCCCTGTTTGTGGCCCCTTTGTCTATGTTGTGAATATATCCTATGGCTAAGATGCTGTGCTTAATTCTCTGTTTTGGAATGTCTTCGTTGGGAGACCACCACTATAGTAGTTAAAGAGCACTGGGCAACAGTCATGGCCAACAGATATAGTAACACTATTGTATGAAACAACTGACAATGACAATGACTACTTTTAAAGTTGAAACTTGTATACTATTTGAGGAATCAGCAATGGATATGATGTGTTTAAAGCTGACCCAGAAAAGAGAACTCCCTCGGGTGAAGAAGCTGAAACCGGGACCGGTCTCCAGTATCACTAAACTGATCTCAGATAACACAATGGTATCTTGCTTTCCTCTGGTATGCTAGTTAGTTTTGCATCTTTCGTGTATGCACAAATACCCTACATTTGAAGTCAGAATTTATACTGTCAGCACTGTTGGGATACCGATCTAAACTAAAGGCCATGGAATGAATTCTTTTTAATTAGCTTGATATCACCATTAATTTTCACAAAAGAGAAATGAAAAGAATGATCCATACTCTACTATTCACAGCAATTTTGTTTTATCCAGGGGACCACTTTACAAAACTGAAGTTTCACAATTAGTTTCCAGGATCATCAGGGTTCTGAAAAGTAAAGTTAATATATTCCCTCTTGTACTTCTTTTTGCTCTCACCTTACCACCAACTAACCACTGAATTTCATTATAGAAATAGCAACTCTTTTGTTGGCTACCTTAATCTCTTTATTCCTACATCTTCTTTTCAAATACTATTATTCTTATATTGTCAAGATTTGTAAGCACACATTCTATACATTTATAATCATATTTGTCACCAATGTTAAACTTTAGTTCTACAATGAAGTGAACTAAATAATCACTACTTGACATTTGAGAATAGCCTTTCCCTGCATCTTTTTGTTGATTGAAGACCATTCTGTTGATCTTCTTTGAGAGCTTATGGGAGCCTTAACTTCTTTTACACTATTTGATTATGTATATATCTCAATGTTAGTAATGCAACATTACCAACCCCTAGATTATGTACATTTGAGGCATAAATTCTTTCAGTTAAATTTTAGGTCTTTTAAATTCAAAGTATTATGTTCTAGAAGTGGGAAATATTTGTATTTTTGTTAAAATGTAAATATAAGTTTTTCACTACATGTAACAATGTTAGTTAAAAAGGAATTTCTTATTAATCATTTGGGCAATTTCTTCATAAAATGCCAATGATAAAGGCCTCTAAATGTATACAGTGTACTACTATGTATCTAATGTCTTCTTCAATGTTTTACTGTTACTCCAAATTACGATTGCTGCCATGAAGAAGGTAGGTTAGCATCTAGGGATAGCCAACATGTCATTTTTCTTTCAACTTCAAGCGAGAAGCTATATATACTCACTAATACCTTTAATAGATACGTTACTTTAGGCTTGACATTTCTAACTGTTCACTATATGTTTACTATGACTGATCCTCCAGCAACTCAAAACTCATTTTCTTTTCTTTCTCAAACCAGGTATTCTCCATAAGAGCTATTTTCTATGCTCTATTGCCATCCTTGATTTCTCTTACTGCTAATACTTTTTTAGGCCTACTTGCCTACACTGAGGTTCAAAACTATCAGCTGCTAAGTCTATGTATTGTAAATCTATCTATCGTATACATCCTGCTTTCCTTTTATTTTCACTGCTATTCTAATGCAGGCTCTCATTTGGCCCAGTGTAATACCTTCCTGAATTTCTTCATTTTTCAATAATGGACAACAGATTACTACAAAATACTCCTAAAGCATGATGCAAGCAACCTAGGGTATATTTTATGCCAAGGTTTTATACATGAAGAGTTCACATATATATTTTATTTTCTTTAAAAAGTTTTATGACTTTTTCTGCATATTTGTAGGAAATATATTTTCAAAACGAAATACTGGAGTGGGTAGGAATGAGGAAATATTGATCAATGGGTACTGTCTTACTGTTTCATAGAAGAAACTCTGAGATATTTTTGCACACTGTAGATAATGATGATGTACTATATATTTCAAAGAAATAAAAGAAATGATATGGAAAGCTTTCATTACAAAGAAATGATAAATGAGAAGATACATACTGTATGTTTAACTGATTTAAACTTTAATACAATGTATACTGGCATCAAATGTTACAGGTTATCCCACTAAGATGTACACCTGTTATATTTTTGTGTATTAACAATAAAACTGTGTAGTAAAAGGTGAAACATTGCCAATATTCTTAGATGCAGAAATTATAATCCTGTTGTGAATACTTTTAAGTACAAAAATTCCTTTATTAAAGTGCTAAGGATATGATTGTTTTATCTTTCATATATATTCAAATTTTCATAAACCATCCGTGCATAGAATGAACATGAAAATGGCAAAATACAATCACAAAAATAAATCCAGAAAACTAGGTTCATTAATGTGATTAAAGTCACAAAAGGTTTAAATGTGTGACAAGTGAATGTTTTAAAACATTTCAATGATAAGAAAACAAATATTACATTCCTTTTTATAAAACAAAATTCTGTAAAATGATTATCAACAAATTATTGAATGCTGCCAACAGAACTGTATGGTGATTTTTAAGAGGGACAGTTTAGAAAGCTGTTAAATACTGCCATCTAGGAAACTTGTGTTATTCACGGATTGATTGGTAAAAATGTTCAGCCAAATGAATGTAAGAAAACTGAAAATTGTTGGCTTTTGCCTACCGTACCAAGATCAGCCTTAAGATCTGTTGGCAGACTTAACTTTCTTGATCCTTTAACTGAAACAACAGAAAAAGGAAAAACGTAGTTGTTAATTATATAATTAAAGAGGAATGGGGGGGAATAGCATGTTTTATGATATAATTATTAAAATCATGATGAACGTTTACATTTAGTGAGGATGGATGGAGGCAGACTATTATTCTAATGTTAGTAGTAAATTCAGTAGTAAATGTTTAAATAAGAAAAGAGAAATAAGAACAAGACAGTAAATAAAATGGATATTTACATAATTTTTTCACATATGTGGTATGAAAATGTCTGACCTAATTTGGAAAAAAATTAATCTCAAACATATCTAAGAGGTAGAGAGGTATGTCTAAGATCACATACAAATAATAATAATAAAAGGTTAAAAGCTGGCCAATGCTGAACCTTTTTTGAAATTAAAACAACATTTTATTGTATGATGTAATCAGGGAAACTAGTAGATGAATCAATAACATTAATTTTGGAATACAGTGATGCTGAATTAAGCAGATGAAACATCTTGAAAATATAAGATATTTGAAAATAAACTTGTAAATCAAATTATCTAGAAAATAGTTATATAAATAAGTATACTCTTACAAAGTATCAAAAGACTTCCCTCAATATTAAAATAATGTAGTGGGTACCTTTAAAGCTATCTAAATAGAATGCATGTTATCACAGAAAGAATAGCATTAGGGAAAAACATTAGAAATGCTTCCTGTCAATACTTTATTGACTCAATTTGAACCAATTAATTTAAGTGTTTTATTTATAACTATGAATGTTATATGAAAATTTTTATATAGGAGAGTGACACAGGAGAAATAACACTCAATTTAAAATGAGAAAAACATATCTCATAAACATCTGAATTGTTACTATCTATGCATACAACTTTGGAAAAAAATCCCTTTATCAAGCTACAAGGTAATTTTCTTATCTATCAAATAGCATACTGATCTTAGATCTGATGTTTCAGATTGAGTATGATATATAATATATTTTATAATAGATTTCATAAATCTTGAATATAAACCTAAATATACTTGTCATGTGTCATGAAATACTATTTCTCCTTTGATTTCTCTTGAATCGTTTAAAAATTTAATGCTCATTCTTAATCCACAAATCAGCCCCAGCTAGCAAGCTGGATTTGGCCTAAACATAAAGGGTACACACTGCTAACTATAATTTGGCATGCTAACCTATGTATGAAAACACGCACAAGTATTATCACTCTAATAAATAGTATTAAGATTAGGACAAAGTCAAATCATATTTTAATAATATGAGTTCATAATTAGCACAAATAAAAAAGGTTATAGTTAAAATATGAAAAGTAAAATATATACAATAATTGTACTTCAAGAGAGGTTGTTTAATAAAGTATTAATAAAGGTGATTTATTATTTAGATAAGTCAAAGAGGTAGTGTTCATTACTTAAAATAATGTTTAATTATGGGAACAAATTTACTGCATAATAATAAATTTTCTCCTAATGTATCTTTTTAATGATTTTTATCTTATTTTTAAGATGGTCTTTATATCTACATAATGCTAGTTATCTCCGAAATGGAAATAATTCAGTGCTTTCAAAGAGAAGGCAAATCAGTGCCTTTCTAATCCCAGATTCACACAGCAGAATATGACTACACTGACAGGTGTTTTCTGCCTTCCAACTATTCTTTTTGATGGAAAAACTCATATTCCACATTTTATTCTGATTCTCAAATTTGCTCATGTGCTTGAAATTCCAGCCCATTCTCTAATTTACCACCTGTTTTTAGCTTTCTGGAGACTACTTTCCTACCTAAAAATTAGAGTCAATCTCAGATCTCATCTTCAGTTGTGTAACTGGGAGAGGGACTAGATGGTAGGATCGATTAGAGTACTTATTAATAACATTAACGATAGGCTTCTTATTTATGCAAGAATTATTTCTTTGTCTCTGCTATCCTTCTATAAAGCTCTGCTCGTCCTTTAGAATAGCTCAAAGATTACTTCTTTTCTGAAGGCATCCCTGAACTTAAAGGCTGATTTAATAGTTTTAACTTCTTTTGCACTTGTGCATACTGCTTAATACATTTTAGTATACTAGACATTTTTGTTATAATATTCATTAAAATTATCACATTTAAAATTTTCCAAAGACAGAGAGTGCATTCCCAAAACCTCAAGTATTGCTACAGTAGGTATGCTATAAATGTTTGCTGAATGAATGTTGAGCTGGGAAGTCAGAAATTTGCGATAAAGTATTCTTTAAAGAAGGCTGAGAAAATTAAGAAAACATGTTCAAGTGTTAGAGAGTAAGAAAAAGCTAATATAAGAAATGTATTTAGGATTTCTTAATACTTAGTGCCTGCAAGTGGCATGGTCTTTTCAGAGCTTTTGTTTGTTTTTGTTTTTTGAAACAGGCTCTTGCTATGTAGTTTAGGCTGGCTTTGAGCCCACTATGTAGCCCTGGCTGGCCTTGAACTTGTGGTGATCCTCTTGCCTCAGTCTCCTGAGTAGGGGATTACAGGCATGAGCCACTGCACAAGCTCTTCAAGTCTTTTTGGATCTAATAAATGAGAGCTCATGCCAATGGTAAAGGAAAGTTCATTGAGCTTGAATAGAAGGAAATGTTTGCAGTGTGCCAAAGGGAATGTAGCTTGCTAAATTTCTTTACTTTCTACAGCTATTTAAACTGACGCATACTCATTACTCTCATTTTACAATATTAGCCAAATGAAAGAAAATGGAAACAGAGCTTTCCTCTACTCCTTGGCTTAGCAGTTTGCACAGAGAAGCAGCATATCTGGCTCAAAGGCATCTTAGAGGTCACCTACTCCAATATCCTATGCAATACAAGTATTTCTCCTATAACATTCTTGACATTGTTTGATTAATTCCATGATAGAAACCTTCAAGAGTGTAAGAAAATTCCAATTTTGTGTTGCTGTAATTTTTACAAGATTTCCTTATACTCCAGCTCAAACTACTTTTCTTTATTATTTACCAATCTGTCTCATTTCTAACCTTTGGAGCAATGAATAATAATGGATTTATGCTCTCAAAGCACTTGGAGAGACTTACTGTCACCTCTAGCTAGCTATCTCAGTTTAGCAGGAGTTCGCATTTTTAAGAAGGGACTGACACTGACATCAGGAAGTTTTTAGAACGCATTGTGAAAAACAATGTTTCAAGGTTTCATTAATATTAACCAACCTACAGGGCCATTGTATGAGAAACATTTCTTAAGGTTCACTTCTGGTATTTCATATAAAACAAGTTTTATTGTTCTTAGTTGTTCAACTATGTATAGATATCGATATAGACACAGATACAGGTAAATAATTGATACAGGTAGCACATTGCTGGTTTTTCACAAAGTGATTATGATTAGATTTTTTCATGTTAATAGGTCTTTGGGTTCCTATCTTAATGAAAAATTTTCCCTCATAACCTTTGATCTTCCCTTTTTCTTATGATTAGAAGGTGGCAATTATAAAGAGAAGTGCCCCATTAGAAGAATTCATAGAACTACGTAGCATTCTTACTTTTACTTTGTATACTAGGGTTTTCACTTTGTTGTGGCTCAGCTACAACTAATATTTGGAAGTCTGGAATGCTCAAAGGACACCATGCTCATTCTCTGTGAGGTGATGGATGTTAATTTTTTACAACTGAGGATTTCTGAACACTAGCAAATGCTTAAGGTTAAAAAATTTGCTAAAGTTACAGTGATAGAAAGTGACTGGAGTAAGGTCAAAGACTTCTGACTTTGAAGCTGTGTTTTGTAACCCAAGCACCGCAATCTTCCTGACAGGAGAGATGTCATTGTCTAGGTCTACCTGTCTTCTCTACAATACGTGAGTCTGATATTAAATTAAAATGTTTTGATTAAAAGTTTTGAAAAATATGTGATTTATCTATTTGTTGATGAATTAATTGGTTGGAGTACAGTAATGAATTTTACTTACCTGAACAGAAACTAAGGATAAAACACTTGATATGTCTGTATACAAAGTTAAACAAATACAAACATCTTAGGGCCAGTATGCCACGTTAGAACTATGAAAAGCTTACACACTTCTAATTTTGTTGCCACCCCTTATTTAATTTTTCCTCCAAAAATGGTGAGTAGACAGCCAGGCAACAAGGTATTGGCATCAGAATTTACGCTAGGATAAAAATGTTTAATATCATGACTCCTCCTCTACCTTAAAACATACATTGTATTTTTACTTAGCAATGTTAGTGAATTAATGACTAATAATGTTGTATGCCTATTCAGTAATTATCACACATTATTTATGTTTACATTTTCCCATCTTGAATTATAAACTTCTAGAGATAACTTTTTAAAACCTACTTTAAAAAATAATTGGTGCCAAGAATCTAGGCCAAAAAAGTTTGAGGATCTTGAAGCCTGATGACTGAGATATAGACAAAATTATTATTAGCAGGGTAACCTTGGGCAAGTCATAGAATTTTTTTTAGCCATATTTTTCAATCCACATAATATGAGAACAGTACCACCCTTTAGTATTGTTTTAGGAATTATATATTTGAAAAGTTGCTATACAGTATTATACATTTATAGATTATAATTTTAGCAAAGATTAAAAATTCAAAATGTGATTGTAATGCTGTTGGGTACATGAACCATAAAAACTAGATTGTTTTTAGAAACAAGTGGTAAACTATTTTCTTTTGATGTTTTATGTGAAGTATATTTCTTATTTCTCTTGAATTTCTTTGCTAGACCACCATCTCTTTATAACTTAGCTACTTTATTTTCTCATGGATAAAATGTCATAAAATTTTCATCGTGATTATGATTTGTCCTTTAATGATAACACCAGTGAAAAATCATAAGCTTTACAACCAAATATAACTAACTTTGATTTCTACCTCTACTCACTTAAATATTCTGAACTTTAGTTTTCTTAACAGAAAAAGTTATATGCCTGGGGAAATGTATTATATGGGAAAAACATCCCACTGCCTGGAGAATTTCAATAGTTGTTATATTTTTATTGG